GGCTCACCTTTGCCGGCTGCGAGTTCGAAAAGCCATTGGGAAATACCGTATAAAACTCCTAGACACGTTGCCCCTCCCGGGCAGACTGATTAGATACCTGAAATACGAGAACACCCAGTAACTGGAGCCACTGGGAGAGAGGAGTGACCCTCAGACTGTTTTTACTAAGTCTCAGGACGGTAGTGTCCCCACACCCAAAGGGACCTGGTGACAGATGAGGCTGCAGGCTGCCTCCCTCTCAGCTATGGCAGCTGCCGGGATCTCGCTGGGTCTGAGGGCCAGCACTTTGGCCAGAGCAGAGAACAGAACGTGTCAAGCAGGAGAAGAATCGTTTGTTTTCAAACTGATGCGTAGATCCCAGACCTTCGGTGCCACTGGGGATGGCAGAAACCTCCATTCCTGGGGCCAGGGGAGGGGCCAGGGCAGAATTTGAGGTGGTCTGGGGAAGTTGGGGGCCAGCGGGGACCTCCTCCATCCCTGGCTTCAGAGCATTCCCCGAGCACTCCCCCTTGCTCTGTGAAACTGTCCCCTTGACTTCTGCTCTTTCCCTCCAAAGATGAAGAGGAGGACATGGCCCAGGGCCGGGGGAGGGAGACCCTGGGGGGTTCCTCAAGTACAATAAACGTGACACACATGACGCCCTGCCCGGCCAAGTCCCTCTCATCAGACTCCCGGAGGCCTGAGGTGCTCAGCGCTGGCCCCTGGCAGTAGTGGGAGTGGGGTGGGCCGGCGGTGGGGGGAGACAGGGCACAGGGGCCCCTGAACGTGTCACTTTGTGTAGGTTTCTGAACCACCCAAGAGGGCGTGTTGTTTCTCCACCAGGAGAGACCTGATGACCCAGAGGGCTTTCCTCTCCTGGTGTAATCACCACGGAAACAGGAGCTTCATCACAAACAGGTGCTCAGTGCCGCTGTCTCCCGGCACCTGGGATCGTCTTGTACACTGGTTTCCTGCCGCTCTGTTTTCATGCCATGCTCGCCCTGTTTTGCTATAAAAGTTGAGATGCCAGGGGGGAAATCCAAATACCGCTATGGGCAGCGGTGCTGGCGTGGTGGCCGTGGTCAGCCCTTGCAAAGGCACCAACCCTGGGTGTGCGTGAAGCCCTGGGCCTCATGGGGCCCTGTGGACTGAGCAGGGGAGAGCTGAGGCCCGCCACGGCCATGGCGTTCTCTCGTGGTCTCTCCAGGTCCCCTGGGCTGAGACCTGGCATGCCCTGTTTCGACGGACGCTGCGCCGACTCACCAGCGTTCTCCTTGCAAGCGTGATCGGAGCCACTGGGGGCCGGGCGGCTCTGCCGCGGCACCAGAGCAGCGCCCCTGGCCGAGAGCCCGCGCCAGGCCCCGAGCCAGGGTCTGGTGGAGACTTAAGGTCAAAAGCAGTCTCTGGATTTTGGAAAGGAAGCAGCTGGTTGGGTGGGAGGAGCCCTCGTTCCAGGCCTGGCTCTGCCATTGCTAACTCCTCCGGGGCCTCAGTTTCCTCATCTGTACAGTGAGACGTGGTGGCCCCTGGTGACCTCGCCAGCTCTGACACACTGGGTTTCTGTGGCGTCAGTAAATCCCAGTGTCTGTGTGAAGAGGAAAAGTCTTCCACGCAGCACTTTCCAGCCACAGGTCAGAGGGGGCTCAGCCATTCTAGCCCAATTCTTCATGGTACAGATGAGAAACCGGCCCAGAGAGGGGAAGGGACTTGCCAGGACACACACAGCAAGGTTCCCGGGTGTCCTTAGGCTTCCAGCGCTTGGCCACGGTCCCACGCTGCCTTGCTGTAGATCCCACAGAGCCCGCAGGGATCCTAAAGAAATCCCAGAGGAAATCTGCATCCCCTCCCCTGCTCCTCGGGGTCGCTTAACCCCAAGGGCCCGGGGGAAGCCACCAGGCTCCGCTCGTGGGGAAGACCCTGACTGAGGAAAGCCTTTGCTGAGTCAGCAGCCAGGAGAGAGCATTTTAACCTCGGGTGACTGATGATCAAAAGTGCCTGGAAGGGTGGCAGGTGAGGATGGGCTCAGGCAGACAGGGCCGGTTTGTGAGTTGTTTGGGGTGCATGTGGGCTGGGGGCAGAAACGAGGCAAACCCTTAAACTGTGGCATTTCGCAGGCCACCTTATATCCCAGAGAGTTCTAACAGGCAGCAGCTGCAAACCTCTTCCCTGGCCCGGGGCAGGGCGGGTGCTGGTCTGAGGGAGCTGGGTGGAGGTGTAGGGGAGGGGGCTCGGCCGCTGCATTCAGCATCGTCACCATTGCAGGATGCTGGGACCCTGGCCTCGGACGCGCTTGGAATACTTGGGTCCTTAGAATATTGATGTGCGTATGTCCATACCAGTTGGCCAGTTGGTCATAGCACTGGTCAGGGCCCCTTCCGACCACGTGCTATGTGCAGCCGAGGACTTCTTAGGTCCTGTCCCCACCTCCCACAATCCAGCAGCTAACGGGTTAATGCCTGGCCCAGGGCCTGCTCCAGTGGGTCAGTTCTGCCTGGTCAGTGCTCAAGTTGTGCTGTTCGTTACATGTTTTGACTATCACTCCTGTTGAGAGGACTTAGCCATCTCTCTCTGCAGAAGCCACCATCCCCCACACCCCCTAGGAGGGTCTCCAGCCTCAGAGAAGCCTCCCGACATCATGGAACACCCCAGCCCTGAGGTCCGGCAGAGGCTCCATCTCACGGGCAGGAGCACGCTTGACCCAGTGGTGGGAATTGTGGATGTGGCTCAGTGGGGAGGTCCTGGGCCGGTTCCAGTTAGGGGAGTATCTGCTGCGGTAACTGCGGCTGCTTTTTCCTTTTTTTTTTTTAAATACCTAAACTTTCCTAGATGTGTGTTTTTCCCCCAACTCGCTGCCACGTGGCGGAATCATGGTGCCATGGGCTTCTGTTGGGTCTTGTCTTAGTAAAGGTTTCTACTTGGTGACTTTGGAATGAGTGGATCTGCAGGTTCCCGCTGGGAAGCTTGAGAGGAGCAGGGCAGTGGGTGGGGACTGCCGGTCTCAGCAGAGGGCCCACGCAGGGCAGCCCAGGTGGCACCCCAAGAGAACGTGTCTCCCAGAGCTCGGCTCCCCCTTTAGGGGGTGTGGTTGGCTGGATGCTCAGGCATCTGTTCCCATGGACAGCACAGTCCATAAACATTAAAATACCCATGTGGCAGGGCCATGTGGCCCACAGACAGTACCAGATAACTACAAGAGGTCACTTGGTTGGTAGTTTTGAGCATCCATGTGGTACAGTGTGCCAGGCACTCACATGGGCCTCACAACAACCTACAAGGTGGATCTATTACCAATCACATAGTTCAGATGAGGAAATTTCAGCACAGAGAGGTTAAGTAACTTGCCCAAGATCACACAGCTGATGGGTGGCAGGGTAAGGATGTGAGCTTTGAGCCTCTTTGCTATACAGTTCTCTGGCTCTGAAGTCTTCTGAGGCCATCAGGCACAAACCACCAGAAACCCCATGGCTTCCCAGTGAGTGGGCTTCCCCTCGTGAACGACCTGCTCTGGGGGATGTGGGAGTAAGACAAGGCGGGGTAGGAAGGGCCCTTGGCAACCGCTACTCCTGGAGCCTGCGTTAGTGAGGAAGGGTCAGAGCCATGTCTGGGCCCTGGAGGAGGGAGCTGGTGACCCGTCGATGCTCGCCTGGGGTGCAGAAGAGGGAGCTGCATCTGTTTGCTGCCCTAATCTGTAATAGTCCCCCATTTTACAGAGGAGGAGACTGAGGCTCAGAGGGGAGATTAACTTGTCCCACATCACGCTGCTGGTTGGAGTGCCAGAGTCTCCAGCCAGGGCCGGCCCCTGCACCAGTCTTCGTTGTGGTAACTGTGTTTTGACAAAATGAGCAGCCCCGCACCCTGGCAGGCAGGTCGCCCACCGTCAGCCGCAGAGCCCCGTCCCCGGCAGCAGAGCAAACCCGGCTGGCATGCAGGTGGAAGCCCCTCAGTGGCTTTGCCAGTTGGGCACTGTCAGGACAAAACCTAGGGCCACTGCCTGCCACCTGTGCCCACCTCTACATGGGCACAGGCAGAAGCCTCATCACTCCCTTGCCAGGGGGCATGTGCCAGACCTGCCCGAGGAGGGGGCTGTCCTCGGGTAACTGGGAATCTGAATTAGCTAGGGATTATTGCTTTGCATGGGGTTTTTAAACATTTTTACCTATTTATTTATTTTTGTCTGGGGACATAGAACCAAAGACTATGCTTAAAAGAGGAACAATTTGGTCAGGACACCTGTTTTGTCCTCGGAGACCGAACTCCTGTTTGGCCTGATTTTCCCCCGGCCGGAGGTGGCGTGACCACCTTGGCACAGGTCTGCTCTGAGGCTGCAAGCAGAGCTGAAATCCCCGCAGAGAGGCCTGTTCTCACCCCACCCACCCCACCCACCCCACCGTCCTGCAGCTGGGGCAAGGCAGCCCCGAGACCAGGGGCCGGCCCCACATCACCCCGCCTCTCCTGGCTCCGGCTCCCAGTCTCCTGAGCAGTTTGGACCCCCTGGGGGCTCAGGCCAGAGTGTCCTTCCCTGAGGGCTCCCCATCGTCCTTCCTTTGAACTGAGCCCTTGGCCCCCAGCTCTCCTTCCCAGACATCTCAGAGGCTTCAGTCACTCCTGGCCTCCCCCAGACCAGCCACCGCCATAAGCAGCCCTCAGCCTGCCACAGCCAGTGCTACCTTAGGCCCAGGGACCAGTCAACCTCATGACACCCAAGATGTGGAAACTGTAAAAGAAATGTCTTTATTCATTTAACCTTCTTAATATTTACAAAGAACAAAAAAAACAACTGAGATTGGCTCACACAGTAGGTGGCAGATGAACAGGTGTGTAACTGGCTCCTGGGGTGGCTGGCAGGCAAGGGCCCAGTCCCACTGCCCGTGGTCTGCGCAGGGACAGCGGGTGAGCTGCTGGGCTCTGGCCTGGCTAGAGGGGGCCCACAGAGCCCAGCCCCACAGCCCGACAAGGCTGCCCCGGCCCCAGTCCTGCCAGCCTCCCCACACACAAAGGGAAGGGGTTTGGGGAATGCCCAGGAAGCCACGCCGCTACCCAGCCCCTCCTCACAGGAGAGCGCCTGGAGCCCCCGACACTCCTGTAGGCTGGAGGTGGGGCCGAGGCCCTGGGGCCCTGCTAGAGGTAGCCAAAGACGTTGAAGATGGGCGGGGCCATGGCCGGCTTGGTGGGGATGGGCTTCAGCACCACAGGCCTGCACACCTGCCCCAGGCCGTCCACATCCTTGCAGAGGTGGGCCAGCTCCCCGGGGAAGGCTGGGCTTTTCCTCCACAGGCCCAGGCTGGGGACAGGGCTCTGGGGGAGGGCCCCCGGAAGGCCCGGGTAGATGGGCTGTCCATGGTACTGCAAGGGGCAGCAGCTCCAGGCATTGCCACGGCCCACCAGGGACACGCCAGGCATCTCGAGCGGCTCCTTTTCAGCCAGTGCCCTTGGGGACATGGGCACCAGGGCAACCTCAGGCCCCAAGGGCTCCAAGCCCTTGCAATGTTTCTTTCCCTCATAGGGAGGTCCCTCCCTGGGGCCCAGTCCCCCCTCCAGCCCCATGGGGTAGCTGTGGGTGGGCCTCGGCTCCTCCCAGAAGGACGCGGGCAGCTGTCTTTTCCTCATGGGCACCTGGCCAGGCCTGGTGGCTTCTGGACTCTGCCCCTGCAGGACCTGCTCCTTAGAAAGACATTCCTCGCCGTAGGGACTCCCCGGGGCCTTCTCCTTGCAGCCCCCACCCCCTCCGGGGCTGGACTCGGGGCCCGGATCGAGCAGCAGCCTCCCGGGCCGGTCCTCGGACCCTCTCTTCAGGTGGGGCTCGGCCGCTCTGCCGGGAAGGCCCCTCGGGAGCCGGGAGTACTTCTGGGAGAAGCGCTTGAGCTGCTTCTGCAGGTACTTGCGGTGGTCCACGGAGCGGCGGCAGGGCGCGGACTTGTCCAGGGCTGCCTTGATGTCGCTGGACGCCAGGTTCACGAAGTTCAGCAGCATCTTCACGTCACTGTCGGATGCCATCACCAGGGGGCCACTGCTCGGGGCTTTCCATGAAGAGGGTGGGCTCTGCTGGCGGCCGACAGCTCCAGGGAAGGGCACCAAGCTGACCTGGGAGTGCAACAGGCCGTTGGAATCTCTCCGGGCCGCCACACCGGCCTCCCCAAAGGCCGCACCGCCTGGCTGCAAACAGTGTCCCCAACCCCAGCACCCCTCAGCCCTGGACAGAGCCCTAGGTAGGGGGACACCTGTGCCGGTCACCGAGCATTTCCTGAGTATCTGCGATGGAACCGGCACTAACAGAGCCTCATGCAGCCCCCTGGGGTCCGTTGCCCTCTTCTTGTAGCTGAGGCTCAGAGAGGTGAAGCAACTTGGCCACGGTGACCCAGCTACAAGTGGCATTGCTGGGGCTGGAGCACAAGCCCCCGTGCTCCCAGCCTGCCGTGTGTCCCACACACCACGCTGCCAACGTGCACAACTTGCCAGAGAGGTTTTTATTTTTTGAGCCGAGGCAACCGCTCCAGTTTAAAGCAAGGCCAAGCCCTCTTCCTTCCTGGTGGTGGCCTCCCCCTCCCACCACCCCTGCCCCCAGTCCCAGGAGCAACAGCCCCCCTCCTCAGTCCCCACGCTCCACCCCCAGCTCTCACGCAGGACCAGGCGGGACCCCTGTCTGGCACTTAATCGAGACCTGCCTTGCGGGCTGGTCTCAGGCTGCGTGCAGCAGGGACTCCCCTGAGGAAGCATCTGCAGCAATTTCATGCCTCCTCCGCCGCCACCCACAGCACCTCGCCCCTCCCCCAGGCCCCCGCCGGCCCCACGCCCCCACCCAGTCGGGCCAGAGCCGCTGGGCCTCCACACTGACCGAAGGCGCGGGCCCCGGGCCCGCCAACGTGGCCCGGCAGGTTCCCCACCGCAGACCTGGGACAGGCCCGGCGCGGCGGGCCGCGCTCCGTCCGGCTGGAAGCAGTTGTGCAGCCCTTGAGTGGGCTGAATGGAGGACGACTCCCCGGAGCTGGGGGGCCCCTCAGGCCAATCAGGAGCGCCTCTCCAGATACAAAGCATCCCAATCAGGCAGCGGCGCCCCGTTCCCACATTCTTTGCTGTCACAAATTGTCACCATGGGGACCATCACAAAAAAGACAGCTCCCAAATGCAATCATTTCCCGGTAAATTTCTACCCTTCAGCCCCACTCCCCTCGGCCTCCACGCCCCTCCTCCCCTTGACCTCGGTTCCCTGGTTTCTCAAGGGGGTGGGGAGTGTGTGTGTGTGTGTGTGTGTGTTTAAAACGTCCAGAATTCAGGAGGGGCCGGGCGCAGCGGAGACTCGGGGCCCACGGCTGCCATGCTCCAGTGCAGACAGACAATCGGACGGGGTAAGCCGGGGCGGGCTGCTTTTCCCGCTGTCCTTGAGCGTCGAGTGGCTCTCTCTCTCTCTGTCTCTCTGTCTCTCTCTCCTTCTCTTTCTCTCTCTCCCCACCACCCTCCCCCGGGATCCCCCAGGGATCGGGCACAGCAGGCCTGCCAGGTCGGGAGGTCCACTGATGTCTGTCGGGAAAGGTGGCCGAGGACGGCTCTAACGAGGAGCTGGGATATCCATGGGAAGGAGCCGGAGCCCTCAGGAATCTTGTCTTTATGTTTGCTTCCTCAATCGAGCTGCACAAAGCCTGAATTGCCCATTCAGCGCGGCCGGACAAAAGGTTGGCGTTGCACGGTCCCCTTGCATTTGTAGTCAAACAGTTAGGGACTTAAATCGAGTCGTCATGATGGAGAAAGAGGTGGACAAAGCCCATAGAATTGCCATCAGCAAACATTTTCCTGTGTCATATTAGCCAGTCTCCATGGCACCCCCTGGCCTGGGGACAATGGCACAAGTTTGCACACTTGGCTACTGTCACCGTGCCAACGCCAGCAGGGCTGCAAGCAGGGCCGCTCTGAGCGAGCGAGGAGCCCAGAGCCGGCGCTGGCCCTGCCCACCACTGGCCGGAGGGAAGGTGAGGCCGAAGGCAAGGGAGGCTGCCTGGGAAATGCTAATGGCCGTGCCGCCGTGCCAGCCAGCTCGTGGCCCGTTCACGCCCCCTCGCTTGTCTGCCCAGGCCCGGCCTCCTCCTCTGCCCTCCTCTCCCTCCCCTTCCTTTCCTGTTCCCCTCTCTTCTGCTGCCTTTTCCCTCTGCCCTCCGTCAGCCCAATGGCTGGTGGTCTGTGCACCAGTCCACACCTCTGTGCCCCATCCTGAAATGCCAAGGGCCCCCCTCCTGAGTCCGCCCACCCAGACTGGGAGCCCCGGCAGGGCAGGGCCGGGGCCTCACCAGGAGTGACGGGCTCACTCCTCCCACTGGCCAACAGGTAGCTACTGTCAGGATCAGGCACCCGCCCACGGTAGCCTGAAGCCACGCCAAGTCCCTTCCAGCCTGAGGGTCCCTACGGGCAAAACGAGGGGGTTGGAGGAGGTGGCCCTGTGCTGACAAGCAGCGACACAATTTAGGCCTTGAAGAGCCAGTGCGGTATTTCCCATGCCCCTTTCCTGCCGCAGGAGTGAGGGACGTGTGGATTCAGACAGATGCGCCGTAGGTGCGGCCTCCACGTGCTCTGGAGAGCTGCCCCTGTGTGCAGCAGCCTTGGCGTGAGCGAGAGCTAAACCTTCATTGTTTTAAACGCCAGAGATTGGGGGGCTCTGTGTTTCTGTGGCATGTCCCAGCCCACTGGACTGGCACAGGCAGGAAACATCCTTGCTGGCCCACGGTCACCAGGGTGGGCTCCTGCCCGTTTCCCCCCATGGCTCCCTGCTGCCTACTGCGTGAGGCTGGTGGGCACAGCCTGGCATTGGGATCCCTCCGGCACCGGCGCCCGCTCTCTTAGCTGCCTGCTTCCCCGCGCTCTGCTCATCCCCTGCTGGCCTTCTGTGCGCTGCATCTGTGCCGTGCTGCTCCCTCTCTCTGGGACACGCCTCTTCTAAGGGCATCGAGCCACTCGGCTCAGGTCTCAGCTTCCTCGAGAAGCCATCGCATCTGCAGCCGTGTCACCCACTCTGGCACCGCTGCTCATGGTGTCTCCTCCGACAGGCTGGGGGCTCCGTGGGAGTGAAGTTGATGTCTTTAAAAAGTCTTGCTGTAGCTCATGACGTGGGCTGTTCTTTCACCAACCGCTTTTTGAGTTAAGAAGGAAGAAGAGGGAAGAGAAGAAAGCAGAGAGAAAAACAGGACGGAGAAAGCTGACAGTTGTTGGGCACCCTCTCTGCGCCGAGAGCCACGTTCGATGATCTCTCGGGGAAGACCCGGCCAGACCCCCTGGGCAGCTCCGCGAGGGTGCTGCTGTTGCCACTTGCAAACGAGGAGCGTGAGTCACCTCCCCAAGGCTGCGCAGCTGATGCCAGATCTCGAAGCCAGGCCGCCCGTGTGCAGAGCCTGTGCTGGACTCGCCACCCCGCGTCGCTGACCCCAGCCGCTACCCTGGCGCCTTCGGCTTGGAAGGCCTCGAAGACCAGATTTTCTACACAAGTCCTGGGTCCTGCTCTTGTATCCCAAGGTCAGGGAGTGATTGTCAACTTCTGACTCAGCAATTTGGGAACTGCAGCTTCCGGAGGTCAGGAGAGAGGGTCTTACTGGCTCAAGGCACAGTGGCCTGAGAACCTGATCTAGCCGCACTGACGCCACGCCCAGGCCTCAGGCCAGGTTTCCGGGGCTGCCTCTGACACAGGGTGGGGAGGCAGGGGCAGGGAGGCTCCTCCAAGCTTTCCGGACAGGCCGTACTGACAGGTGGAACGACAGCAGTAATAATAATTTTGCCTCCCTCTAGAGAGCCCTTTCCCAGTCGTTCTCTCATTATGGTCCCATGTCTGGGTGGGGAGGGAATTATTTTCGCTATTTACAGTTGGTGACACACACATAGATACCTCAAACCTCTGATTTTGGGGCCCAACTCAGCTATCCCTGTCTTCTTGGCATTCTTCAAGGCCCAGCTCAAACATCCCCTCCTCTAGGAAGCCTTCCACCAACTCCCAGAATCATTAGTGACACCCTCTCCCATTCCTATGTTCGTAGAGTCAAAGATGAAGTCTAACCTCCTTAGACAGACACAGAAGGCCCTTTGTAATCTGGCCCCCTACCAGAACCTGGCACAGAGTAGCTTCTTACCAAATGTTCTATGAATTAAATACTTTTCCCCTTCCACTGAACTATGGACTAGAAACAGCTGCTTCTTGGCTTAGGTTTTTCGTTTATCGTTTGCCACAAACCCCACCCAGGTGAGCTCCAGGAGAGGAGGGAGCTTGTCCTCAAGTTCATCTCTGTATCTCCAGTGACTAGAATGGTCCCGGCCAGAGCAGGTCTCAGTGAGAGACCCTGTGGTGCTGTGGCTGTACTTGATGAGGAATTGTCTGTGATCCTACAGAAATGTGGCACTTGAAAGCTGGACACACCCTTTCACGACTGAATCGCCCTGCACCGGAACAGGGCTTCCATGAAGCTCTCTGAAAGGCAAGTGAGCTGTGCCGACTTGAACTGAACTGGATTCAGATGGGCTGGGGCTGCTGACCTCCCCTTCCCGCCCAGCTGTTGCTGCCGGGGACCTCCGAGATCCAGCTGTGCTGACCCTGCCTCAAGGGCATCAGACCATCCAGCCTCAGACACCCACTGCTTCACACCAACCCACCCAGCACCTACTATGCGCCAGGGACCAGAGGGTGTGGAGGTGGCATCCCCGCTTTGCCTCGATGACTGAACAGCCATCTTACGCCCACGCAACAATGAAGCAGAACAACATCCTAACAAACCGTCATCCAGATCCTCTGGGTATCAACAGGCTTTAGCCTGGAATGTGTGTAGACTGGAACTGCAAGTGAGAAGAGGCAGTTGGCAGGCACATTCGCAGGCCAAGCCTGAGGGGACCCGAGGAGGTCATCTGGGGCAACCGGCTCTCAAATTGCTTGCTTTTAAGCAGAGATGTCCATGTGAGCATGTTTGGAAGCCCAATGTGTAAAACTGTGACAGCAAAGTGCTGAGTACACAGTTACTTTGCACATTCAAATGCATACGTTCTGCTTGTTTTGCAAACAGTGGATTAGGACACGGAGGAGGCTGTTTTGATGACATAAACCTTTGAAATCAGGAGTTATGGATTCCGGTCTCACACCAGCCACACTTTGTTTCGGTTGCAGAACATTTACAGTCTTGATTTATAGACATAAGTAGCTGAAATGGTAGTTTTCTTCGAAATTTATCTTGTGATCTTAGGACAGCCATCAATGAAAAGGAATCTCGGGAGAAGCTTTATTACCTGGTCCCCAGAGGAGTCACCTGACCCCTGAGTTGACCAGTCGGCAGCCCGGTGTAACAGCCTGTGAGTTACAATGCATTTGAATGTGCATCTGTTTGTTGATACAGTTTTTAGAACATAATGTTTTAAATTGCCAAAAATAAGTTTTGAAGGAGATTTAACATTTTCTGACCTCTACAGAAAATTCAGTTCCAAAAGATGGACCAATTTCTCATTTCAAAGATGGAGAAAGAGAGGCCCACAGAGGGGCAGTGCTTCACCCAGGGCGGCAGAGCCAGGTGGGAGGAGGACCCAGGTGGAAGCTCTGTTCTGGCGGCCACCCTGTGCTCACACTCACACCCGATCATAATAATGTGAAAGCCTGCTTGATCAAAGTACATGACATACGTTGTCACCTGTTCTTCCCAGGGGCCGTGACTGCTGTTAGTGGATAAGCAGACAGAGGCACAAATGGGCTAGGAAACTTGCCCAGGGTCCCATGGTCAGTAAATGACAGAGC